AACAAAGATTTGTAGCTCAGACGACTTCTCGATTGTTGATGAAGCGTTGTTGCTACCTTGACGTGGTGGTCGGGCTTGCCTATCGTGATGAAGCAACTGAGCTATACTGGCTGGAACAACCGTTCCTCAAGGTCCTACCATGCCAGACAGGTCGGTTGAAGAGCGGTAAGACTAAAAGCAACAAAACCAAGGTCCGAAGGCGAAGTCGTACTGCTGACTGTACAGAGGTGTGACAGCAGTAAGGTGTTTCCTTCAGACAACCAGCATGACAGCGATGCTGCCTTCCCTAAAGGAGGGGTGGAGTCAGAAAGGGTCGACCCTAAAAATGCACACCTCGCCTTATCCTACGGATATCCGTCTCCGGCAGTAAGGTCTCAACAAGTACGGAGCTAACACAAAAGTTACTCATAAAAAGGTCGTGTGTGACTGACCTCAAGCAGCTGTCCCTTGGGCACTGCAGTCACGCTCTCAGGTCACTATGACCACCTCTAATCCAATTTCCTTTTCAGGTACCTCCAGCAGAACTCTTCCACGATGTGGGCAACCGGGAAGTGATAACCGCCCTCATACCTCTAACAGCACTCAAGACCACTGTATTCATAATCAACCTACCTCTTCAATTCCTATTATTCCTCTTACATCGACTTTCAAATCTAAACTCCCTCTTTCGGCTTCCTCCTCAAGTTTCACCACAGCCAACGATCCTAGTGCGCAAAACACTGTCCCAGGTCTACTGAAACCTCGCTCCAAACTACACATTGGAGCCTTCAACATACGCACACTATACCAAATCGGTCAGCAGGCTTCCTTGGCTAAAACCTTAGAATCTCGTACGATTGATGTATGCTGGTTCTCCGAAACACGCATACAGGATCCTAGCGTGGTCATTCACTTGACCTCACCTCGGCAAAACGGAGAGCCGACGAGATACACCCTCCGTGTATCTGGCGACCCGATGGCTAGTTTTCGTGGACTGGCAGGTGTAGGCATAGCACTAAGCATGAGGGTGGAACAAGCGCTATTAGAGTGGGTCCCCGTTAACAGTCGTCTATGTGCTGTTCGGCTAAACGGCTTCGTAAGAACTCGAAAGGATAGGGACACACGTTGCCTTTTCGTCGTTTCTGCCTACGCTCCCACTGACTGCAGTTCGGATGAAGTGAAAAATGAATTTTACAGAAAGCTGTCTGAACTTCTTCAGAAAGCTAAACGTTCAGACATAGTACTCGTAGCAGGCGACTTTAATGCCCAGGTAGGTAGCTTAAACGAAACAGAAAGACATTTAGGTGGGTATTTTAGTATTCCGGCACAGAGAACAGATAATGGTGATCGTCTGCTGCAACTGTGCTCAGACAATCGTTTATTTTTAGCAAACACAAATTTTAAGCATAAGGAGAGACATCGTCTAAAATGGCGACCCCCTACACTAACCAACGATGGGCTCAAATAGACCATATTGCCATCAGTCATTGTTGGAGAGGGTCAATAGAAGATTGTCGCTCATTCTGGAGTACCTGCTTGGACTCCGACCATGCCCTTATACGAGCACGCATCTGCTTGCGCCTCACTGGACGCAAAAAAGCCACACAAAAAAACCCATTAGAACCGAATTGAGTAATGAGAAAATCAAAAGTAGGTTCCAGGAACAACTGAGGTCACACTTAGGTTGTTCTGAAAACAAGGTTGACCCAGGTGTTGCTTGGAAAGTTATACAAGCAGCTGTGGAAACAGCAGTGACATCTACTTGTGATTTAAACCACAGGGTTACAAAGAACCAATGGATTTCTTCAAGGTCTATTGCACTGATAGATTCTCGTAAACTTATCCCTTCAGGTTCTGAACACGATGAAGAGCGTAAAGAAAGCAGATCTAGGTTAAACAGAAGTCTAAGGAACGATCGTGAGCAGTGGTGGGCAACGAAAGCAAAAGAGATGGAAAAGGCGGCGGTTATAGGGAACAGAAGACAACTCTACAGACTAAAAGAAACTGGAATTAATAAATCAAGTGTAAGTCAGACTATTTCAGAAAAAAACGACACTCTCATCTGCTCCCAGTCCAGACGTTTAGAACGATGGGCGGAACACTTTAGGGAGCAGTTTAGCTGGCCTTCAGCTACTCTACAACTACCCTCTATTCCCAGACAGTATAAATGGAACATTGAAGTAGGTCCCCCAACTCTAGCTGAAGTTCAAAAGGCTATAGCTAATCTGAAACGAGGAAGGGCAGCTAGTCCAGATGGATTGACCCCAGAGGACTTTAAGGATGGTGGTCTAGTTTTAGCGATTAGGTTGACTAATATTTTAGCTAAAATCTGGGAGTTAGACGTTATCCCATCTAACTGGTCACAATCACTTATCGTCCCAATATTTAAGAAAGGGTCAAAATCATCCTGTGACAACCACAGAGGTATTTGTTTGACTAATATAGCATCTAAAATACTAGCCTCGATAATTATCGGACGCCTAACTAAGACTCGTGAACTGCAAACACGTGAAAACCAAGCTGGCTTCAGACCTGGTCGTGGCTGCATCGACCACATATTCACCATACGTCAGGTTCTATAACACAGGCATACTTATCGGCGTCCGACAATAGTGGTCTTCCTTGATTTAAAAGCAGCGTTTGACTCGGTTGACCGAGAGGTTCTGTGGCAGTGTCTGTCATTGAAAGGCGTACCTCAGAAGTATATAAACCTTGTGAAGGCTCTTTACTCGGACACTACTAGTCGAGTCAGAGCTTATGGCGAACTGTCATCTGCTTTTGCAACATCAAGTGGTGTCCGTGAAGGCTGTCCACTTTCTCCATTTTTGTTTAACTTCATCATAGATCTACTGATGGAAATAACGCTCTCATCGACTGAATTCTCGGGTATTGATCTCCTACCAGGAGGTCGACTTATTGACTTAGAATACGCAGATGACATAGTCCTGTTTGGTGAAGACGCTGATGAAATGCAGAGTCTTTTGGTAGCACTGAGCAACAATGCCAGAATGTTTGGGATGCGCTTCTCTCCCTCTAAATGCAAGTTGTTGCTTCAGAACTGGTCTTCGTCAACACCTGAACTGAGGATAGGGGGTGAAGTAGTCGAACGCGTTGACAACTTCACTTATCTTGGAAGTCTGATCAGCCCTAATGGGTTGGTGTCTGACGAAATCTCAGCACGGATTCGAAAAGCTCGCTTGGCCTTAGCCAACTTACGTCATCTATGACGAAGGCGAGATATCCGTCTATCAATTAAGGGACGAGTATACTGCGCGGCAGTTCGTTCCGTTCTACTATACGGTTATGAATCTTCATCGACTGAGATGGTTGGGCCACGTGTTGCGTATGCCTGAACACCGATTACCTCGACGTGTAATGCTCACCGGTGTTGGGGATGGCTGGAAGAAAGTTAGGGGCGGCCAAACCAAAACGTGGCATCAGTGCTTGAAATCACTAACTTCTGGTCTGAGCCATGTTGGTAGATGCAGACTGCCTGGTTGGGGTCCGCGTGACTATCGTAACCAATGGTTGGAGACTGTTGGTGACATGGCTCAGAATCGATCACAATGGCGTCGGTGTATGCACTCTGTCTTCCTTAAATTAAGAGATTAAAATCGCTTTGTATCTTACTTTCTACGAACTAATTCTTTCTTCCTGTACTATGTCCTTATATGCAATCTTTCTTCTATATATTAACACCACTGAATTAACTACTTCTATGAATCCGGTGTTCATCTTGTTGTGCTAATGCGGTATGGCAACTTGGACCGATGCATATACGTGCCTGGTCCTACGTTGCAGCTGACTAACTGACTGAAACAAAGTTTTGTAGCTCAAATGACTTCTCGATTGTTGATGAAGCGGATAAAAAATAATTTCCTCCACGACCAATGATTACATAGCAAGATCTCATTTCAGTAAATTCTCCATTTTATTTAACTGTTTGGTTCATACAAAATTTCTGAATAGTTTCAGGATTGTTGAAAGCCTCAATTCTTTACGAGAAGAATGTGCAGGATGTTATCATATAGGAAACAAAAAGTATATGTGCTCACCTAATACTAAACTATCAACCCTATCATTTAAAACAGTGTGTCTGTGATACGTCGTTTAATAGATAATTCACCATGTGTTGCCTACGTAGAGTTGTAGGTAAGCTAGATAACTGAATCATTTAGTTATAAATCTAAGCTGATTTGCTCTAAAATAGTGAGGTTTATACTTGGGAACTGTGGTCATAATAGGTAGTATTAATAGATTAGGTCTGTCACAGTTAAATATAGCAATAAAAGTTTACTGTGACATACTCAACATAAAATGTAAACTTTTTCACTAAGATTGTTAGAAAATTATTTGTATGGAGGAACTACTCATCACCATAAGGAGCTATTACCTTCTGGATAATGTGCGAAAGTTCTTTTGGGTATAAATATCATTTTGTTTGCCTTAAGAATAAGCATCTAACTTCACCATTTTATTTTTGTTTTTACGTTTAGATACATTCAGAAACGATGTCCCAACAATCAAATAAAGTCCCTTAGTGGAAAAAGTTTAGGAATTTAGAAACAGGTGTTAATTTTTGAGCCGTTTACTGCTTGGCTATTAAAGTTTCGGGCTATTAATTTAGACTAGCTTCAACTGACAAGTTACAGGTTCATTCCTCTCCTGACGAAATATGAGTGGTCGACTAGTATCATGTCCTCATCCAGTATGTATGGTACATCATCTAAGCCATTTAGTTCTACAATGTTGCCGAGTTTCGTTTGCTGTTTAATACTTGGGTATCTTGATCAAGAGTCAAGATCCTTTAGTTGAAATTTATAAACAGAACGTAAAGCATTTGATCAGAAATTTTTTAAAGCGTTAGTCTAAAATTAGAGTAAATCGTTTCCTTACTAATCATAACTATCTGATCAAGTTATATTTAAGATCTAGACTAAGTGACTTTGCTCATCATAAACCATTTTGATCTAACTGATTATTTAAAGCATTTTTGTGATATTTGTAAATGTGCTTTGTAGAATATATATGGTATCAATAATTCAGCAGACGCTTACTATGGGACACTTTTCTCGCACTTGTCTTATGGAATGGGTGAGGGCAATGGAGTAAACTCAGCTACAACCCCAAATGCAGAAAATGCAGCTGCGGCTGCTGCCGCTGCAGCCTTGGCAGCAGTGGCTTCTGGAAGAAACGATTGGTCTAATACTGATGGTTATAACGCTGTTTCGAACATGATGAATAATATGCGTACACATCCATCAATGACAGCTTGTTCAAATTCTGGGGATTTATCCGAGTCTTGTAATATTCCATCCAGTTCTTTATCATCACCTTATGCTGCGACTTTGCTGGCTGCAGTTGCTGCAGCAGCAGCTGCAGCTTATCCACTTCCTCAGGGTGCCGCAAATGCCGTTTCTGGCCAAACAGGTCGGTCTTTCTTGCCCAATCCCTCAATGAATAATAGAGCAGCTGATTTCACAACCATGTACTTTGGTTCTTCCACAAGACCATCTGTTACTAATGCTAACCAACTTAATGGGCTTCTTGGTAACCTACCTAATTGGCCTTTCACTGTTCCTCCAACTCACTATCCAAACTCTTCATTTATAGACAGACCTACTGGTGCAGTCGTTCCTTTTGAGGGCTGGGCTTCTTCAAATGGTCAACAATTAACGTTGTCGCCTTGTGGTGAAAATGATACAATCAATCACTTTGGTCAAGGTCCATCCGAAGCAAATATGCCATCTAAAGACCCACATACATATTATACATCGTCGAATATAGGAGATGCTGTTTTCGCACCACCTGCATCCTATTCTCAGCAGCAACAGCAATGTACTACTGAAGACCCTGGTGTTTCATTCATCTACCATCATCCGAATTCAAAAGCTGCCTATCCGTTTTCATCTCAAGGACCTCAGTCACATCTTGTAAATGGATTGCCTGGTAGTGCTGCTAATATGTTGGATCCCTATGCTTCAGTAAATCAGTGCCAAACAATCTCACAACATCTGATCGATGAATTCGGTCGACTAAATGTTGGATGTGGTGTCGAAACAGCAACTTGTAGTGATAATGGACTAAATCAGTTGCATGTCCCGTTTTATGAAACCTCAGTTGTTGGAAATGGAAGTAATGTTCAGTTACATAATACTTCAGTGACACAATGGTCTCATATGAAAGAAAATAACGGAGTAAGTCAATACAGTTCCATATATTCTGCATATGGTTTTTTAGTTATCAATTCGCGCTTTTTGGATTGACAGACTTCAAAAGTGAAGCTGACATATCAGGGACCCATGAAAATCCTCTTCGTATTATTGTTTTCAGGTCTTCAAAACCATGTCCATAAAGTTTGGTCTTTTACACCCAAACGGCGCAGCTGTTTGCTCTGTTCTACTTTAAAGATAGGGGATATTCTTAGTTTATCAGTATTCAACCACAAATGTCTTGAAAGCATTACTCGTATTTGTTGGGACCACCGAGTTAGATGTAGGATAGTAGGTAAAAATGGCAAATTAATTGGTGAGGTAATAAATCTTTAACTGAGGTGGTTAAAACACGTACTACGTGCGCCCGTCAACCGATTACCTCGATATTCGATGATGCCTAGCGTAGGTTGAAAGAAAGCTATAGGCAGCCACACCAAGATTTGGCACCAGCCAATGAAGACACCAGCAATTTGACTTAGCCATGTAAGTAGATGCAGACTACCTTGCTGGGGTTCACAGAGTTATCGTAACTAAGGGGTAACATTGATATTACTGATTTGGAATGGCATAGGCGCACGCACTATTTGTTTTCCCTCAGATCCTAAGTTTCCGGATTACTGTATAATATTTTTATTTTCATTAGGCTAGTCTACATATTCTTGAATCGTATCTTCGATGCCTGATCTTTCCTATTACCAATAGTATTGTTACTACCTATACTACTCTGTGATTTGTTCTGATGTTCTCTTCTCGCCTTGCTAATAGGATGCGTTGCATATGACTAAGTAACGATTAGTTTTTACTTTTAAATACACATCAAGTAACTTTAAATTAGTCGTAGTTTTTATAACATAACTAAAAAAATTAATAGTGTGACTAAACCTTTTGTAGGTTTGTGTATATTTACTCATTCGGGAATAAGAATTTAACTTGAAATTCACTTCTGCACTTATCATTTAGTTGTATCATTTAAATGTGAAAATCAGCTAATTATGAATAAATTTGAACCTATTACTTGATAGGTAAATGCCAAATATACACATAGTTAATTTATTTGCTTACATATACATTTAAATATATTACTGGGAAATATGTGAGCTTTTTTATTTTTTAGATTAGTAATAGCATGTGTTCTATGGATAAGTCCGATAATATATCCAGATCACAATCCAATCCAAGTAGTTATCCAGCAAGCAGATTATCTACTTCAGCGAGTAACAGACCTGCAACATCAGTTATTGCTACATCTGTCAATAATTCACCACGTACTAAAACTTGGGCTAATATAGCAGGACAACCACCCAAAGGGTCAGCTGCAGTTATTCAAAACTCTGTAGGATGGTCAGCGAAAAGATCTCATCCTCACAATCCAACAGCTGTAAACAGGTCTTTCCAAACTTCTACTGGGAACTATTCAGTTGGTAGGGCTAATTCTTTGATGGCAAATGCTTCGTGTAATAATGGGCATTTAACACAACAAGACAGAGTTAATACTGCGGACCAGTCAGGAAATGTTCGTTCTTTAGCGGAATCTAATTCTGAGTTAAAGAGTACTTCAAATAACGGTAACCATTCTGCAGATAATTCAACATCCCTACTTACTTCAGATGGATCTGCACAAGCTTTTCAACGTGAGTCGGAAGCGCTGCACCAACGTTTGGCTAAGGTAATTAACCCCAATGATTTCGACACACACATAGAAAAGGCCAGATTCTTTGTAATCAAGTCGTTTTCTGAAGATGATATTCATCGTTCTATAAAGTATTCTATCTGGTGTTCAACAGAACTAGGCAACAAGAAGCTTGACACAGCGTTTGCGGAGGCCAATCATGCCTATCCAATATATTTATTTTTTTCAGTCAATGGATCTGGACATTTTTGTGGGATGGCTGAAATGGTTTCTCGTGTTGACTATAATGCTAGAGCTAGTGTTTGGGCTCAAGATAAATGGCAAGGTAAATTTTCGGTTCGATGGATATTTGTAAAAGATGTTCCTAATACGGCATTGAGACATATTCGAATTGAGACAAATGATAATAAACCAGTAACTCACTCTCGTGACACTACAGAACTTCCCTTAGAACGAGGTAAACAAGTAATGGAAGTACTTGCCACATATTCACATACATTGTCTATTTTCGACGATTTCTTTTATTATGATCAACGAGAAAGACAAGAGGTAAGTTAGATTACATCATACCATCGATCTCTATATGTTGTGTACTTAGACATATTTTTATCAATAAGTTACTTCACCCAAGAGATTCTTACTTGCTATATTTCTATAATCATATCTCTGTTTATGGCAAATGTTTTTTGTGTGTGAAACTACTGGTTTGCTAAAAATATTTCAGCTTTAAGCTCTACTAGATGAATAAATAATTAGTCCGAATTCTGGATGCAGTACAAACTTCCAGGGATAGATAATGTTTTACTAGGTTGCTTAACATATTTATCTTTGAAATATCAGAAATTTGTCGATCATGCCTAACTCACTAGAGTTAGTGTTGGAATTTGTAGACCATTCTCTTTCATCCATTACATACATAGTTATGTTCTAGAGCTTCGTACGTGAAATTCTACTTGGGCATACAACGTTGTGGGAAATGGATGGAAACGACTTTTAACAAAAACCAAGTACTTTAGTCTCCGAACCAAACCGTTTACAGTTCTCGAATACCGACCCACTGTTTATCATAATGTATCTGTTAAGGAAATCACAAAAAGGTGTCTCGAAGTTGTCGTTGTAAGTCTGTTTACACGGTTATAAGCTTCGGTTTGGATTAGTGAATCACCATTTGCCACTGCTCACTGCCTTCTCGCGGCTGGGGTCTTGTTTACAAAAGCGAGTGTCCGGCGCTTTAACCTGGTCGGTAGATACGGTGTCCACAAAGAGGAGTTGAAAAACAATGGTACACACGGGCTCCAGGACCCTAAGGAAACAAATGGCGTATGAACCAATTTTTGGTCATCGGTTGCCATAGGACTGCATCTCCTGACGTTGCTCCATTGCCTTGTGGATCAGACCTTTGAATCAAAGGCTCAGGGTATGGCCTCCTGATAAAATCACCTCCTTCAGTTTGGGCACCCGTGAAGTATCCCAGCCCTCACATAAATTGAATGATTTATGTGGCGCATATATGTTTGGCGCCTCCTTGTACCAATGTTTATGTGTTTAAATAAATAAATATGGTTTTAACTTAGATTAGTTTAAATTCAGTCATATCCTTATTGTTTAAAATGTTTTTGTTGATTCCCATGGTTGTGTTTCCTTAGACTTCTGTAGTGTATTGCCGTGTCGTGACTAAACTATCAATTGAACGGCTTCTGTGAGCTCATAAATGAAAAGCTTATCACTTAGTTTAATCGAGAATTCTCATTTCACAATTGAGTGATTATCTGAGCCGTGACGCCTTAATCTCCACATTGCAGTCAAAAAATGTGAAAAACATTTTGCCAAAAGCTTTATCTTGTACTGGATCTTATAATAAGGAAAGCAACAATCATAACGTGGTTTATGAAGGCGGGTTTTTCTACAATCTAAGTCAAAAGTTAGCAATCAAATGTTAATAATAAGTTTCGGTAACCATCTATTTTATCATTGAAAAAAACGCAAAACACTGAGTGTTCAAAAATACTCCGCGTTGTTATATTAGTGTTTATAGCACTACTGGGAGGCCTACACCAGCACAACTAACTCATCTTGAGAACATCTTAAATACTGTGACTCGAAACTCTTTTAGATACATAAGGTTTCAAAATATTTTCAGGATATATATATATATATATATATATATATATATATATATATATATATATATATAGTAAATATCTATGTTTAAACTGAAATTACTGATGTCTTAAATATATACCATGCCAACTGAACATTGAATTTTTGCGTACCATTCAGTCTTACTTCTAATAAGTTTTTTTCGAAAATTCTTTAACAGGGATTTCGTCGTAAAGAATTCAATACGCGAAGAGGTTGATTTGCGGACAATAAATTAGTTTGAATGAATCTCGTCAAATGTTGATTTCTATTACACTTGTGTAACAAAATTTGAGTTTTACGCTCATTTTATGATAAGAAATGAATGATCCAGACACTTCTTCCTCCATCTTTCCCCGTAGTTCTCAGTTAGAGGCTGTTTTTGGATTATTTAAAAGCAAAATTGTTTAGGTTTTCTCTCTTCTGCTACTTCGTTTTTTAGAAAAAACATACAATTCGAAACCAAACTTTACTGTGAAATTTTTTCTACTTAATCATGTTATATACAGCCTCAGGTTATATAGCTTATAAAATTTACTTCCTTACTCTAACAAACTCTGTCTCAAGTTGTTTGGTCAAGTGGACATTTATGGAAAGGGGAGCACAGTAACATGAATTGAACTATTAAACATGAGACAAAAATAATTCAATGTATATCTCTTTTACTTAAATACAGGTAATCATGTTATAATATTTAACAGTTTGGTATTTCACAAGCTGAAACTAAAAGTTACTTTGATGTACTAGTTTTCTTGCTACATTCATTACTATCCTTTAGAATGTCTGAAAGATTATTATTTAAAAAAAACACTCATTGGTAGAGGTACGTAGAACACATAACTAATCTGGGTCCCCGTTTTTATTTACTTACCTACATGAAATTTACTTTTACTGCTAACTAACAAAACAGGACAAACACTTTTTGAACTTGAATCTTTTCTGAAGAACTGATTTTTTGACTTCTCATCTGTAATGTATATTTCTTTTCATCAATTAATTAACAGTTGTTCCACTTATTTTTTTGTCACATATATACATCATATGAGTAGTTGCCATTTCTTCAGATATATAATGATATTAGTAACACTATATCAATGACAATGCCTGCTTACTTACATTTATAGGGGAATCCTTTACATTTTTTCACACTTCATTAAATCATATATATATATATATATATATATATATATATATATATATATATATATATATATATATATATATATATATATATATAATGACCAATCTGTTTTTGAATATACCATTATTATTATTTAAATATTAATATTTACTGATCGTCTCAAGTTAGATAGGCACGCACGTAATCTTATTATATCACAGTTTGAATAGTTCGAATTTCGCCCTTTCTTTCCTTTTTTTACTTCATAATCATTATAGTATGTGTTCCAACCTTTTTCTGTTTATTACTAGTAAATATAAAAAGTATCGAAACAGTTACAACATTTGAATAAATAGGGTAGTTCATTGAATTCATCTATACATTTGTCAACATTAGTTAAATTGACATAACTGTCCATCATTGCGATATATATTTTGCTTATTTCAATGTTCAGATATGATTTTAAAAAGTTTCGGAAACGAGACAGGCATAATCTAGGCTAATTTCACCAAAATATCAAAAAACAAACTGCACAATTACCTGAAACGATTGCTTAGTGGTTAGTCGACGTAGGATCTGTCACAAGTCGCAATTCACATCATCATAGCGAGGAGAGTAAAAAGAGGGTAAATAGGATCGAATGAGATGAGAGCAGAACGTGAGAAGTGTGATCTAGATAACGAGTGAGATCAAAGAATGCAAAGTATGACAGATCATGATAGAATGAATATAACTGCAGTACTCAGGTAACTCATGCACTGGACTATTTGAAAAAGAGAGTGACCACTTTCTTAGGATGTCGTCGAAAGTATATAACTATCGTCGAGATAAGCAGTGATTGGGCATATGTAACATTCCAGCTGTTCTATCCAATGAAGATTCTACCTCGTCAACTGATTAATATCCTCGCCTTGTACGCCAAATCGAACCTCAGGATTGCCCACTTGTTCTACCTCATGTAAGTCATGTTTCTATTGTACAAAATTCTACATTATGACCGAATTCGAATGACGTTTCATAGTTTTAGAAAATAAGGATTTCTGGGAATATGCTGGTCCTAATATGGGCAAAAAGCCACAGAAAAACAAATGAAACTTTTTAAAACACGTTTGTTAACAACTTATCAGGGATAAAAATGAGTAAAGCGGTTGACCCTAAAGACCAGTTTATACGTTGACACATCCCTCTCGAAACAACACTGCACTTAGAGGATAGAAAGGTTTTCAATGCACTTGAGTTATCAGATTTTTTTCTTTCTTAATAGAAAGATTGCTATCTCCAATAAGTTATAAAGATAGAGATCAATTCCTAAATAGTCGAAGATAGTATAATTTTTATGTGACGAATCCTGTCGAAGGATGGTTCTCGTTGGCTCCATATCTCGTGTTACAAATACGCAGTTCGTATCAGTATCATGAGTCTTCGTGAAGTTTTTCAATCTAAACAGGTTTCGGACAGTGTTGTTTGGAATGCGGAGGAAAATATTTCGTATTATAGGGTCGTTAGCAATGTTTGAATGTGAAGAAGGCGTAGCCAGAAGAGGAGTAACAATAGAGGTGGAAAAAACATACGGGGGCGGAGACGCTGTCTTGTTGTGGATAATATTCATTTGAGATGTATGGGGGTTCTTGACACTTCCCGGTTCCCTACATCTTCAAAGGAAACTTCTTGGTAGATGCAAGAAGGCTGCGCTGGTGGTAACGCTTTTATCAACCTAGGAACCTGGCTACAAAGGTCACAACTGTTTTGTTGTGCAAGCTTCATACCTTTCAAATCATAACTTCATGAAGTTAAGTGAAGTTTCAAAGCAGTTGACTGTAAATTTGGACTTCAATCCACTTACTCTGGTTTGGATAACCGGGGAGTATGTATTACAAGCCTTTACACAAAGCGTGGCTGAACACATAAACTTCCATACTTGGCAAATATATCCATATAGTAAACTGCTCCGTTAATGTAGCTCGGATAGCTATTTAAAGTGAATATAATTTTCCTAATGTTTATTTTTAGTATTTGTCTCAATATAGCTCATAGGGTTTTAGATTTTTATCTGTGTAGTTCAAAAATACGATTTTCATATTTCTGAAATACACTATTGAATGTTGTAAATCGTTACAAAAGACCCATTGTACAGCAGTATGACAAACGCTAAAAAAATATATTATGTTACATGACAATATCACTTGTGATTCTTGTCTTTATAATTTTTCTGAACATTTGTACAAGTGATAAATCTGTTAAGGATGTTTTCATAAGTTCTCGTCACTTTCTAACTGGCTTCATCATCACATAAATCCCCATTAAACGAAATGAACTGCAAAAAGTTTGCTGCAATCGAAGCATCATCCGGAACTGTATTTAACTGGTCAAATTTCAGTCGTTGTACCGCAATATATCGGCGTTTAAGTCGTACAAGGTTTCCAATTGTGTATTTAGTTTCGGAGTTGGTAATTTGAAGAACTACATCTCGGTTACGCTCGTTTTGGAAACACATAGGGAGATCGACTGATGAAAGACCACTGGTTTGACTTCGAAGGACATGATCTACGACTTGTTGCGTGATATGCTCCAGATTCTGAAATTCAATATGTTTCAAATAAGAGCATGGTAGAAACATATATGCTTTTACAAATTTAACTGATTGCTTAACAGGTATCGTAAGTCAATTTTAATAAACGAGTTTTTTATTAATAAGAATGCCATAACGTGTAATTACTGAGATTCATCAATTGAGAAGTTTTTAACCTTTCCTGCAAAACATAATAAAACGAGAAGAATTAGAACTTTCAGAGTTAACGTCGAAACCACTTGTGCTGAAGTCGATGAATATCAGGCTGTTAAAAGAATGCTTCAACTGTAAGTAAATCAAAACCGCTTATTGGGCGAGTTTTGTTAACCTGGAAGTCATAAATCAGCACCTTACCCCTACACTGTATTGATAATGTTATTGCCTTTTCGTGTCGAGGGTGTTGTTTACGAAAACGAGAGGACGAAAAGCGAATGTCCGACGCTTTAACCGGATCCCAAACCAATGGTGCACATGGGCTCCAGTATCCTGCGGGAACAAATAGCGTATGAACCAATCGTTAGTCACCGGCTACCATGGGACTGCATCTCCTCATGATGCTCCACTGCCTTGTAGGTCAGACCTTTAGGTCAAAGGCTCGGAGTGTGGTCCCCTAAGAAGACCACCTGTTTCGGTCTGGACACCTGAGCAGTATCACAGCCTACACACAAATATGATGAAATGCTGATATTATGGGAGATACTTTTCTTGCTTCAATTAACAATCCAACGATTCACATTATCATTACTATTATTGTTATTATTATTTGCCAAGTCATTTATTTACTCTTTTATTCCCACGTTATATATCCTTATTTTTCGACTTTTACAGCAGCTCGCCCATTGTGGGAATTCGGCTCTATCTAAACGTTCTCAAGTCACTGCCTGAATAAAAATTGTATGCTACCACCGAATAAGAATACTGAAGCAGTTTTTCTGAAACCACGTGCACCATTCAAACTGGCTGCCTTTACCGTTCTCACACTTATACAGGTCGGACAACAGATAGGGCTGTCTATGTCTTTGGAAAGTCTTAATATTGACGTTTGTTGTCTATCCGAGACCCGTATTCAAGACTCTGGTGAAGTACTACAAGTTCGCTCTCCATCTGTCACTTCAAAAAGCGTGTTCTACGTGCGTTTATCCGGGGACCCTGTGGCATCGTCATCTGGCCTTGCTGGCGTTGTTGTCGCACTAAGCGGTAGAGCTGAGGCAGCACTAATCGACTAGATCCCCATTAACAGTCGGTTATGTGCTGTTAGATTAGAAAGTTCCATCAAATTGAGAAGAAATCGGCGTGAGAAACGATGTCTTTTCGTCGTCTCCGCAGCCTGGATGCAATCAAGGATGAATTCTACCATCAGTTATCTGTTCTTCTCCAGAAAGTGCGTTCGACAGATATTGTAGTACTAGCCGGAGACTTGAATTCTCAGGTCGGGCGTCTAGGCACAGAAGAGAGTCGTTTAGGTGGCCGATGGGGACTTGTTGGTCGCAGGACAGATAACGGGGAACGTCTACTGCAACTGTGCACAGAC